TATTATTACTTCTTAGATGCCTGCAAAACTCATAAGAACAGAAAATGTAAAGAGATTTTCTGAATTACTGAGTCCCATCCTACGGTGTTAAAGGCAACTCTATAGAATCCCTTTGATAAATGTCTCGAGCTCCAGGTAAAAGGTGGTTTCCTTCTTTTGCACCCACTTAACCCTGCTGGAGAAATGGTACAGACTGTCCTCACAATTAGGAATCTATACATTTTTGTCTACATGTTTTCAGTATTAATTTCTAAACATTTTCGTTTGAACCAATGCTGCCTTTTCTTTCAAGAAGGCATTTTTTCCCTGAGATATTTCTCATAAAATCTGTCATCTAATATACAAGGATACAGTCAGTGTGCATCATTTAATAATTACATGTATCCATAGGATAGATACATGAGTATATCACTCCAAAAGTAATGCCTCCTATTTATATCCATGGAAACTACAACAGCTACAAAGAGTATGATAAGACTATTTGATAGAGCACATTCTCAGCTACAAAATTCATCTTCTTGAAAATGGGCAGACAGAATCATATGCATTATTTCCAGTCAGGTACATTAAGGCCTTTACAAGTGTAATAACACCTGCCTGGCTTTAGCAGCAATCTCTCCCTTTGAAGTCCACACGGCTTGCATTTGCCTACCCAAGTCTCCATGCTGATAGTTCTGCACCATGCTTGCTTTCCTCAGCTGAGACACTTAACCACAGCACTTCTTCCTACCAAATTTCATCTCGCTCCTATAACTCATCCTCAAAGCCAAGGTGTTCTTTCTTCTGATGTTCAGATTATCCTCATCCAGGAAGACAATAAATAATAGATAAAGATAGCTCATGTTGCAAAATTAAACAGGCTTCAGGTTATGGATTGCAGCACTTCTGCAATAAAACACAGGTGATTATAGAGATTTTGGCAAACATTCCATATATATTCAAGAACAATACTAAAAACTGAATGTATCACCATTTTGTCAAAAACATTTTTCAGTGTAAGTATGAATTGATTTTGTCTTTTCTTTTGAAGGTTTACAGTTCATGCATTTATTCCAGTCAGTCTACTTTATACCTTAGGCAACTAGCTAACAAGGGATTAGCATGAAAGACACCTCCATAAACAGATCTGTGCAATGCACTCTTTCAACCCTGACCTTGCATGCAAATGCAGCCGGAGAAGGAAGCACAGACACAGTGCAGCAGCCAAACACACACCTGCTTCGGACACTGCGACTCAGGAATACTTGGTTAGACATTATGGGTGATAGAGCACCACAAAACTGACCCAACTGAGTTATGCTGTAGTTGTAACCACAAACCTAGAAAAGAAAGTGTTCTTATTTCTTATGATTATACACTGGAATCCAGCTGGCATTCACAAGCAGGAAAATGTAGTGACTAAAGGCTGCCTTCTTCTCTCACACTTAGGGTAGGATTTCTCATATTTTCTAGTTTTGAGACAATTTAGAAATGATCACTGTAGCTAACAGAAATCAAAACAAAAGCCAACTGCAATGTGGTATTATTAAAAATGATACTGACTTACTCCTTCTAATTTGAACAAATGACTTTTTACCACAGTTAAAAAGAACTTAGTTGCTAGCGAGTTGAGAGCAAAATTAAACCCCTCTGAAACAAACACTGTGCAGGCTATGCTTATGGAAAATCATTCTCACAGTAATCAGCTGTACATGCTGACACACTTGTTCTTTTCTGGTTGCCTAGTTGTCTACCAACCTCCCCTGGCTCCATGCCATGACCTCTGTGAAAGAGCTGCTACAGCAGTAGCAAGTATTTTCCCAGAAAGCCTCATTAGCTGCACTGTGGCTTCTAGCTCTCAAATAGTTCTTGGCCTTATTGCAATTATTGTGAAAGTGTTTTAAATGAACATACTTGGTTGCATTTTTAAATTGATACAAGAGAATTTGAGGCCAAGAAACCTGACTGGGCAGAACAGGTCAGTATTGCATGTTATGCAGTTTGAACAAACACTGAAAAGTAAGTCCAAAGTTACAACTTCTAACACATGCAGTTCCAGCCTTCTTAAAATCCACAAGAAATATCTCATCAGATGAAAAATTACAGGTCTGAAACAGACAGATATTTTTTAACAAAATTGAAAGTTGGCTTGAAGCACTGTGGCGCCTACAAAAAGTGGTACATACGTATCTTTCAAAACGCACTTGTTGCAAACAAATATAGAAAAAAAATTCAATTAAAGGAACTTAAATGAATGTCTCTATTTCAGTTTATAGCCGACAGAGTCAGCATTTATCCACGCTGGTTAGTTTTAGGAGGCAAGATGCAGATGTTCCCCTCAAAGTTTAATGCTTCCTCCCTTGACACAGCCTTTGAGTTCTCGTAGGTATTTGAGAGGCACCAGACCAAGGCAGGGATTCAGGCACTGCTGTGCAACAGACACAGCAATATTTTAGTTAGTACTCATGAAAAGAAAAGAATGAGTAGTTCTCATCAAACAAACTAGTAACTTCTGCTCCTTTGCAAGGAGCATGACTTTGTTGGCAAGCATGAATAAAGTGGCAGATATTCATGTGATACGCTGATACCGTGTTTATGTACCATCTTAAAATAGCATGGAAAGAGTTCTTAATTGAATGAAACAATAGGGTAGACAGAAGAATACCAATCAGAGTAACTTGTCTGCATATGCTAAATGTGCTAGATATTCCTTAGTTGTTATAGAAATTTGATTAGCTTTACTTACCAGGATGCATTCAAACATAAAGATTTTTAGACTTTTTACTGCTGTGGTGAAAAACTAGGCAGACTGCAGGTTGTCTTACAGGTTCATCATATACATAAGCAACAGTCAATTGCGTATAGTTTTGAAAAACAATTTGATGGTTTTCATTCTTCTTCTCATGACAGTTTGCTATACTTTCTGTTTCATCTTGCTTATATACTGTTAAGATTCTCTGTCTGTTAAGTGTGTTCTCTTTTTCCTCTAAAAACCATTTGGGTCACCACGCCAGAGGCTGTAGTTGGCCTGAAGCTGACATAAATAATCTTGAATAAAAAAATCAGGCTGATCAAGATATACATATTCTGTTTTGCTTTATGAGGTCGAGCAACAAGCCTTCAAAAATGATCATATGCAAAGACTGCTGCTCTTTTCCCCTTCCCTTCCCTACCTTTCCCTTCCCTTCCCTTTCTTTTCTTCTCTTCTTTTCTTCTCTTCTCTTCTTCTCTTCTCTTCTTCTCTGCATTTGCATTAACTAGCAAAACCACACAGATGATTAGAGAAGCTGTAACACATAAGAGACAGTTTGAAGCAGCAGTGAAACCCTAGGTCTGAATCTTTCCATTAGAGGAAGGCTGATCCTTGATGGGATCTGGCTCTTTGATTCTTTGACCTTACTGGAGGGCAGCAGAAGATTAACACAGCATCTGGTTTTATAAGGCCCAATACAACACCATAAGGATCCAAGGTAAAGTTCATGCCTATTCTGTAGGGCTGTTCAGTACAGGATACAGAATTAAAGGAATTAAAATTGAAAAGCTGCAACAAGCAAATAAATCATCCACCAGGATACAAATTGCAACTGTTGTTGAGTTGCATTGCATATTTGAACAGTCGTTCAGTGACATACCGGGTGCAGAACACTGATCTCAAGCTAGCTATCAGAGGGCAAGTATGAACATATTTAGCACTGTCAGTGCCAGTTAAAAGGATGGATTTCAAATGTAGGCTTGTTCTACCCTCAGCTCAGTAAGCTCAGTAAGGATGAGTCTTCCTGATCACAGCCATGCTGGTCAGGGTGGAAGGTCAGTCACGCTGCAAACAAGCTGACATTTCAAAGGCAGACCAAGATTTCTGTTGTTAAAGAAATGTACAGCATGACTGTACAACAGTAAGGAAAAAAAGATTTTCCTTTTTTTTTTTTTTTTTTGACTGTTGAAGTTCTTGAACTGTACAGAGGCTGGTTAATGGCTGGAAAGAGATTTCATTACCATGAATTTAAAAGCTACCAGGAAACTTAGAGGAAAGAATGAAAGTTCTTTTTAATACCTGCAAATAAATCAAAATTAACTGCAGTACTCCATTCATGTTTATTGTTGGGTATAAAATTCAGGACGCATCTCTTCTAAGGTATAAGCCAAGCAAGAAGAGTTAAGAGTTTCAACAAACCCTGTGGCATACTATTTTGAAGATGAGCTATGATGATAGCTAGGCTGGGGAAGTGAAAATGTTTTCTTCTAATTTTCAGAGAAGCCACAGAACTGTTCCACTGTTTCTGCAGACAATCATCAATATACTTGCATAACCAAGAGGTATTAAAAGGAAAAAGAAGACGCCTCATGTTCTACTTTGGTCCTTCTACACAGTCCTGAAAAGGACAGCAATACTTTCCTATCTTTCAGGCCATTAAGGAACTGTAGATAAGCTCAGGAACTGTAAATGATTTCAAAGTTTTGTTGTTGTTGTTGGGTTTTTTGTGTTTTTTTTTTGTTTGTTTTTTTAATCAGTATTGAGACCAATATATTCAAAATAAAATTCTACATCCAAAGCAAAATCAATAATATATTTTGCTGAGCAAAACAGGAGAGTACAAATTACTTTCCTTCATCCTTAAGTAAATAATTTATTGCTGAAAAAAAGGTCTAGAGAAGATACAAGAAACAAGGACTCAAGTAACAGGCACAACAAGTGGAGAAAAAGTTCTAGCTGACACACACGTCTGCATTCGTGCAAGAAATGAAAGAACATATTGTCCTACTGCATGGGTTCTCAGGCTTCAGTCTGCTCACTCTAGCGGCAAGGATCTCTTCTGCTGGCTGGCCCTTAAATGGAGGATTCTTCTACTGACACAACAGTTTCACATTTACAGTGAGTTAGCAGAAGCTTTACTAATCAAAATCAAACTTAATTGTCAACTTTCAAACTCAACTGTCGACTTCGCAACATCTGTGGCTGCTTCATGTCCTTCTGTGACTGAAAATTATAGGATATACATTCAAGATAGAGAAAAAAGACATGATAGAATTCAGATCCTCTTTATTCCAGGCTGTTACCCACCTGAAACAAATGATATAAAATCTCAGAGAAAAATGATACACAGTGACTGGACCTGAAACGACCTGTAACCTGATGATCCAGTTCCCTTCAGAGCAGGCTAGGATTCCTGAATGCTTCTTGGTTCAGTATATAGACAGTAGAAGTGAAGGAACATCTTCTGAGTAAAATAGCTAATATGCTATTTGTCACTGATTCAGTAACAATTTAAGCCCAATTCTCTTAAGGGAGGTGTACGTAGAAAAAAATAATGTGGCTTATTGAAAAAGAGAACTTGTATCTTCACAGTTCAAACACCATTTTCAACCACAATGCGACTTCTCTTTTTTTGGTGACCACAAGTGGTTTCGCAGTAAATGGATTAGTGATTTCTACAGGCCCATCCAGAAAGCGTGCTGAGGGAAAGGAGCCTTTCCTTTTTTTTTTGGTCTGTTCTTCTGCCACCCTGTTGACACGCTCCCTGAGTGTGGTGACACTAATTATACATTCACAATTGTGATCTCCCCCAGCCATGTTTATGTGGTTGTTGCAGTGATGTTTGTGCCTGTTTCATACTGTTTCACTTGCCACTGAATATGAGATTGAAGATAGAAGTTAGTTAGGATTTATTTTTCATTTTTAAATTTCATTTCCCTTTAATCTTCAAGTTCTTCACGTGTAATCAAACTGTCGCTTCATCTTTTGGAGAATAAGAGTACCACACTGTATGACCTGAGGAAAAAAATAAAGATTTGAGAAACACAGTGCTGCAAAAACAAACAAACAAACAAACAAACCATACATAAATCCTCGGAGAACTGACTGCATTCAGACAATTCAGAAATTAAAAAAAAAACAACTCTGAAATACACTGCAATTTGTGGCTCTAGGGAAAGAAACAGAAACTCTTCCTTACCTTTTTTACTTCATTTTCAATTGCAGAACATTCTTCCTGAAATTGGGTTAATATTTAAGCTCTGAAACTCAAAGTGTGTATTTTAGACTAGTTATGGAATTCAATTTTCAGCTTGCAAAAAATTAATGAGAATTGTAAAAGTCTACATTTAAAGATAAACTTCAGAGTGACAAAATTTTTGTAAAAGATAAGTCTGCCAAGGATCATAAAATCTGTTTACTAAATACATCTATATTACAAACCTGTAAAATCATGACACTTGTTTATATTGATATTAGTATGTCACTTCCAACATACTTGTTATGAACTGGCATCACTGGGGAATAGAAAAATACAAATTAATAGCTGCTTCCCACAAGTTCAGAGGCATCACAAGTGGGCAACACAGTTTGAAGCTTCCCACTACAGTAGGAAATTCAGAGGAAAGCTGAGGATAAACAAAGAGCAATTTCTCTAAGAGAGGTCAGAAAGAGCATTGCAATTTCTTCAAAATATAGTCAGATAATTCTGCTTGGTGGCTTTGCTTAACAGAATTTTGCTTGAAATTGGATGTTTTATGCAGGAATAGCAGCTTTTTGCTGATATTAATGCAAATGTAAATACTAAAGGCACAAATCTATTTTTCTTTAGGTCCCTCATACTCATCATCACATACTGATATTTCCATTTCACCTCAGGACTCACTGCTCTGCTGTGATACAAAAACAGAAACAGCTTTTGCATAATTAATGAAACACAGGATCTGAAAATAGTCTTTTTTTCTTCCCTTTCCTGTCTACCCCATTAAAAAAGCAAGCAAAACCCAAACAATAGTGCCTGAAAGTTGAAGGCCCTTGAGAATAACTACAGGCTAGCAGGTGTCAGAAGAACAGCATGAAGCAAAAAGCATCACAACTAAAATCAGGACTCTGTTTGAATGGAAGGATCTACACAGTGAGGAACAAGAAGTCAAAGTTACCAGAAATGAGGAAAAGAGCAATGAATGCAGTGGGGCACAGACATGAGGAGAGTACCAGCATTTACTGGTGAAAAGTGGATTACATTTTTAGCTATTTAGACTGTAACCACCAAGACAGGTACTTACAATTCCTTGAAACAGGCGCTGGCTATAAAATAATTGTTATGCAAGGGGAAAAAAGTGCCTTGTAAAGTGCTTCCATGTGTTTTATCTCTTTACATATATCTTCAACAAACGGAATGCTGCCAATATTCCTTAGCAAAAATATTTCCCCTTCTACTGAAATATGCACATACTTACACAGTAAAGAAATGAAGACTTAGGAGCCTATGACTGATAAAAGTACTTCAAAAGTATTGATTCCTACTGTTTACTTCCCTTTACAGTAAAGACCCATGCCACTTCTGTGAAACCTTCATGCTGAGGAGTCCTGTATACGCATACACACACAGACACACACACATATATATATATTTTTTTTTTTCCTGAAAGATTCGGATTTTCCACTACTCATTCTTCCTCATGTTTTCAGACATAGTTAGAAGCTCCTTTAAGTATGGGAAAAGGGTCTATAAGCAGAAGGGGCTGCAATCTGTTTCTGCCAGACCTTTTGGAGATATGAAGAGAAGTCAACAGAGCTTCATACAAAGATTTGTGTTCGCAGGTTTTCCCTTGGTGCTTCTCTAGTTTCCTTCCTCCTGTGCTACTTCAGTTCTTTTAATACAAAGCATATCACCATGGGGGGTGTTGCCTTGTCTTCCAGATGGACAATTGATTTATCAGAGGAGGTAAACCCAATGTATCACAGAATTGTAGCTGTAGGAAAGGACCTCTGGGGATCACCAAGTCCAACCCTCTGCTAAAGTAAGTTCCCTCACATTTATATGATACTTCCCATGTTCCACTTTTGCCTATTGCCCCTTGTCCAGTTTCTGCAAAACACTGAAAAAAAGTTTCATCCATTTGACTCCCACACTTCAGATATTTATAAACAGTGATGAGATCCCCTCTCCGTCTTCTCTGGGCTGAATAGTTCCCTGTCATTCAACCTTTCCTCATATGGGAGATGCTCCAGGCTCTTCCTCATTTTCTCTCTTCAGAAGTTCCCTGTCATTCTTGAACTGAGGAGCCCAGAACTGAAAACAATACTCCAGATCTGGCCTTACCAGGGCAGAGAGAGAGGATCACCTTCTTTGACCTGCTGGCCACGCTCTTTTTAATGCACCCCAGAATCCTACTGGTATTCAACTTTGTCCTCAAGAAGCATGAGCACTTCTTCCACACAGCCAATGCCAGCCTAGTCACACAGCACCTGAGGTCAGTGTCTTTGAGCTTTGAATGCCTTCAGCCTCCATCTATGGATGGAGCTGGATACCGACATGTGAAGCAGGAGTGAAGCAGGGCAAGAGCTGTGCTGCCAACAGGCACTGCCTGTACGCGGTATTTCTTCCCAGCAGCTTCACCTGGGAGCTCGCAGTTCCCATTACTGCTTGCACGGCAGTGCGATGGCTGACACCCACTGCTCCCCCCCCGCCCCCCCGTGATTGTGTAAAGAGGGAATTGCTTCTGCACAGCAAGAACGCATCATTAACTCCCAACGTAACACAGCGTGCGGTAACGCAATTGATAATTTGCATGGTGAACCACAAGAAGAGACATTCCCCTTCCAATGTCAAAAGGTCACTAAGGTTTTTAAGTTACAAGTTGGACCACGCTTGACTCAAAACTGGACAGCAGCTCAGCTCCCGAGGTGCCGCACAGCATGGAGCCGGGCCGCTCGCTGTGCTGTCGAACTTCACTTAACACAAATGGCGTTTCCTGACTGCTCTTAGCACAGACCTCCTCACTCCCCAAGCGAACGCACCGCGGCCCCGTCCGTGCTTTCAGACCCGGGGCTGAGAGCTTTGCAGCAGCGAGGGGCCCGGCCAACTGTCCCCGCAGCCTCGGGAGCACCGCAACGCTCCGCGCCCCTTCCTCATTCCTCGCTCCTTCCTCCTCCGCCCGCCGCACTCCCCGCCCCGCAGCAGCCGCCGGGCCGGCCGGGCAGGTACTGAGGGCAGGGCAGGGCAAGGCAGGGCGGAACGCTCCGCGCCAGCTGGCGGGCGAGGAGGGGCGGGAGCGGAAGGCGGCGGCGGCCCGCACGGCGCATGGTCGTGGCGGCGGCGCGCTCCCTCTCTCTCTCTCTCTCACGGCCTCCCCTCTGGCTGCCGCGCGCTGTGGTCTCGCCCGCCCCCGCTGCCATGTTGGATTGTGCGGCCGCCGGAGCCGGGCCGAAGTTGGAAGTTTAGTGCCTCTCGGAGGGGCGGGCGCCATCGGCTGCGGGCGCCGGGGCTGCCTCCTGCCCGGCGCTGCCTCCTGCCCAGCGCCCCCCCTGCGGGCCGCTCTCCGGGCCCCCCTACCCCTCCGCCTCCCTCCTTCCCCGGCCCCGAGAGGGAGGCTCCGCGATGCGGCTGCTGTGAGCGAGGCCACAGCGGAGGAGGAGGAGGAGGAGTAGGGGGCCGCGGGCTCCAACGGTCGCAGGGCAGCGCCGTGCCGGCCCGGCCATGAGCGGCGCCCCGCAGCAGCCCCCGCAGCCGCGGCGGGTCACCAACGTCGGCTCGCTGCTGCTCACCCCGCAGGAGAACGAGAGCCTCTTCAGCTTCCTCGGCAAGAAATGCGTGGTGAGTGCCTGCCGAGCCGTGCCGAGCCGAGGGGCGGCGGCGCTGCCCGGCCCCGGTCCTTCCCAGCGGCCCAGCTCTCCTCCCCCCCCGCCCCGTTCCCTCCCTGCCCCGTTCGCGGCTCTCGCCCGGAAGTTTGTCCGGCCCTGCTCGCTGCCCGGAGGGGGCTCGGCGGCGGGGCCCGGCCGCTGCCCGGAGCGTAGGGGGGACGCGATGAATGGCGGCGGGACCGCCCGCGCGAACCCTCGGCCCGGCCTCGCCTCTCCCCGCGGAGAGCCGCTTGGGCCGGGGCTGCGGGCGCTGTGAAGAGCTGAGCTCCGCGGGGGAGCTGGCCGGGGGTCTGGAGGCTCGGCGCGGCCCCGGCTGAACCTGCGGCACGACAGAGCGGTGGAAGGCCCGTGTCCGCGCCGGGCCTGCCCTGCTCCGTACTTGGCCCGGAGGGCAGGTCCGTGTGCTCAGGTGCTGCACCTCCGGCTCTCGGCTCAAAAATAAGGCAACGCGGCAATTTAAGGAGAACAAGCTTCTGGTGAACGCGTTCCCCAAGTATGTCGCCGAGTTCTGCGTTTTTAGATTACCCTCTTGCAGTTCAGTGTAGAGTTGTACTCATCTGTGTTTTAAAAACGGCGACAGAAACTGCCTTTAAAAGTTAGCTCCATGTCTTAGGAGAAATGCAGCTTATCTTAAACTTTCTTTTCAGTATTTTTGAATAAATGCTCCTCTTTTATTTTCCTTTTTTTTCAAATGGCCACTTGAAGCCACTCAGAACTGTCACCTGAACGTCTTCCAATGCTTTGTGTGCAGTGCTGGGTTACTAATGCCGGGTACCTGACGTCCTGCTGTCATGCAGTGACGGTTTGTCATAAGCGTGAGCTTGTGCCTTGAAGTAGGACAGCAAGGCAGTCTCAATGGTTCTGCATAACTCTGGACTTTGAGATGGTGTTGTTGATCAAACCAACTCCTGCAGGAAAGCAGGAGATGCAGTAACTGAGCAGGAAGTAGGCGATGTTGACATTGGGTGAGTTAAATAGGATGCTGTCATAGTAATTACACTGGAATGGGTCAAAAGATGTGATCGTGAAACACGTCAAGAGGAGACTTTTTGTAAAGTAATAAATCTGCAAGAAATCTGTAATCAAGCTATTTTTCAGGCACGCATTTCACATGTTCGATTCCTTTGCCAAAAAAAAAAAAAAGAAAAAAAAAAGAAACTAAATTAAAAAAGCACATGAAATTGTGTGAGTTTTTCTACAAGTCCGATTTTCTTGTCAAGGGAACACGTTATGTTCAGCTCTAACACTCACCTACTCACATTCTCAACTTTTCTGCGTAAATACCACTTAAGGCAGACTTTAGAGACAAATATCTGTATAGTATCTGGGTGATGTGATTTGTGGCGGGTTGATAGCTTTATAGATGTGTCTCGCTTCATGTTTTTCCTGAATTTATGCATTCTTAAGGTTTTCACTGAATTTTGGATGCCATTTCAGTCAAAGATTTCCCAATTGTCCCAGCCACTTCCCTTTTGACCCCTGCCCTGTGTAGTCTCCAGGTTAAGCATAGGCTCATGTTGTAGTTCATCTCTGCTGTATCCCTGAGGGCTCAAGTCCAAAAGCTCCAGAGATAAACCAGACACGTTGGACTGAGCCAAAAAGGTGGCAGTTTGGAAACTGATTCATGAACAAATCTAGCATTTCTGTTGCAAGGGTGGCAGCCTCTATCAGAAGAGTGGAATGGGCACCTGGGGATGGTCACCACCTCTGCTATCCAGTTTGAATCCGAAATGTCAGATCAGAGCCTAAGTGCACTCCTGGCACTGTTGACCTTCCAGCTTGACTGTAACTCAGTGTTAGCATGCTGTGCTGATGAATGCCCTCTTGCTGTAATATGCATGATATTTGATCTCTTAATATCCATGCTTGAATTATTCATTAGCGAAACTTAATAAATGGTAGGGGAAGAAAAATCTTGCGAGTTTCTTAGGATGCTACAAGTTTGCTTTCAGACAGACTGGTCTGGCTGTGTTCTCAGACTGCTGCAAGTGGTGCATGGGTTTGATGCTGTGCGTGATGTTTCTGTCATCCCAGTATCACTTCAGGTTATGTTTTATATAACCTTACGTTTATGTTGTTGAGTGCCAGAGGAGCAGTTGAGACATGAGACTATGATCCTAGATACTCTTTTTATAGTAATAACTTGTGATGCTCTTGTGGAGGGCATAGTGCTGTAAACAGGCTTGGGGGTCTTGGTTAAGAAAGCACGTGGCTTTGTGGACCTGATCTACTTCAGCAGACCTGCCTTTGGTTGTCTTGGACTGGTTACAAGGCAGCTACATTGAGATTGCACTACTCAGATTTTTATTCTGGGGAAAAGCAATTTAATTCATCATACTGATTGACTGTTCACAACCTATGAAATTCAGTATTGACATAATTTCAATGACACCTTAAGTCATTATGACTGATAGATGTGATACAAGTGGGTGAAGAGCCATAATTGTGTTTGTGTTGGTGGGGCTGATACCTTTATACTGGTACTCTGAGAATCTCATTGTTTAGTAGTCAAATCCATGTAAAGGTTACTGATCTTGGCTTTATTATTATTATTATTATTTTGCTGAGGTATAAAATGCTTGTCTGAGTTGGTAAGCAGATGCACTATCTTTGAAAGCCTAATTTGTCAGGGGCTAAAACAAGCCATTGACTTACAGTTAAAGCTGTAGCTAATTTAGTTTAAATACTAAGCCAAGTGTAGAACTGCTTACAGTAGGTGTCAAGCAGGTAGCCAGCCAGGACTTTCATTGCTGCATGGGTACATGAAAAGCATTTAACTAATTTTCATTCAGGCACGTGACGTTTGTTATCTGTCAGGTGTGAAGTTTACTCCCTTTAGTAGTTCTTTATCTTATTTGTACCATAATGTAAAATTAAGTCTGTGTAAACTTATCCTAATCAGAGCTATGAGATTCTTGTATATATTATTAGAATATTTTAATAGCTATGCTAAGCTTGTATGATTTTGCTGAATTTGCTTTAGTTTTGACCTAAGGAATATGTTTAAGGATAAAATAGTAGGTGTCCAATTAATTCTTTCTAATAAAGACGACATTTCATTAATTTGCATGATTAATAGTGATTAGTAACATCACTGATGTAGAATTACTTTTTCTGCAGAAACGGTTTTATGCTTTTTAGAGACCTCAGGAAAGAAAAAAAACACATGGCAATTGTGTAGTTGATAGCACTGGAAGTGGTCGATGGAGTCTGGATATCTTATAGTGCTTAGGAGTGGGACTGAACACTCGGATAAGAAAGCAAGGCTAGGGATAGCTAGTTGCTAAGATCTTTCTGTAGTTAATGTGGTAAACAGGAACTGGTAAAGAATGCAGAAAGTGAAGTGACACAACAGTAAACCAAGAGAACTATTTTGGCTGCTTTTAAAATGCATGTGACCAGAATGAGATTGTATGTCAGAGCCAAAGGACAAGTTTCTGTAATGCTCCAGATTAAACAATTAAAGCGTAAATGGAAGTTTTAGTTCTTGATTGATAAGAATTAGATTTCTCCAAGAAGGGACTTGTAAGATTACTTGTGCTTATGATAACATGAACTAAGACTTGCCAGCAGACTACAGGTCGGAGTAATTGGAGGCCTCGTGTGTCAGAGAAGTATTGGGGCTCTGTCACTTTGAGTTTATGCTGCAGGCTGCACGTCTGTGAGGGTAGCAGAAAAGCTGAGGCTGTAGTTTGAAAAGGCGTTATCTCTTGAAGAGATGGGAGGAAGTTAATCATCTGTTTAGATGTGCTGATGGCTTCATGTTTGCGTCTGGTCTTAAGCGAGATGCGGAAGGAGAATACAGAGGGAAAGGGGTAGGGTCCTGTGAAACACAAGATGTTGAGTTGAGCCTGAATTTCTGTGTGTCGGTCCTATTCTATCCAAAACCATGCAACTTTTTCAGATGCCTCATTAGTATCTACTGTAGTCATATCCCTAAGCAGCGTCTCAGGGCTAACCTGAGAATTACACTGATTTTTAACTGTTCCCTCTGAACCAAATTTGGACCTACAAAAGTGATTTTCACAGGATTGGGTCAGGTGGGACTTTTCAGAGCAAGTCAGTGTCCTCAAACTGCCTCCTTATATCTGCAGCAGAGGTGTTTTATCATTAAGTGTTTCTCAATCTTATTTTCCTTACAGCCTGCTATTAAACAAGGGTAGTGAACTATGTAGTAATTTACTTGTGGCTGAGAAATGTTTTGAGACTACACGTGAATGCTGTACAAGATGTTGTGTCTTATTTCTGAATGTATTTGAGGGAAAGAACCAGTTCATGAAAGATAAAGTTGAGTTCAGGATAAGAGAAATTCCTGTGTTTGTGTTCCACAGTTGTCAGTGGCTATCACTGGCTCTTACCTAAACTCAAGAAAGTAATTTACAGTTATGATCTGAATTTGTCTGTTTGGCTGTAGGCACTATAAATGTCTGTTAACTCATGGTAAACACCAAATATTAGGTGTCTTGATGTGTAAAGTGAGTCCTACTTTGTTAGGAACTGTTTGTAAGCATAAAGGAGGAAATCTAGTAAGATTTGACTGGAGTAAACCTCAATCCATTAATGCTTCAGAACTCTTGCATTCTCTTCTGAACTACTTTGTAAACCTTTTACCTTTCACAGGTAGTTGAGTCCCAGAAGCCTCCATGATTACTCAGCTGGTCACAGATACCAGGCATGCTGCTGATAATGTGCTCTGGAATCCTGTAGGACCCAGGCACAACAGGATGGGAGCAATTTGTAGTCACAAGCAGTTGTGTTGTAACTTAGCTGCACTTTGCAGCTAAGAATCAGGTGGAAGAATTTGGATGAACACTCATGAGATGTTTTGACTACCGGATTTCCACCAAGATGGCTGAATACTGCTTGTTTAGGAGAACGCCCGAGAATGAGGTAGCTCTTAGAAGATAAGACTGAATTTATTATTTCATGCAGATATGTAAATTGGAAGACTACTTTGTTGCTCCTTGAATGATGAATTTGTGATTTCTCTGCTTTATCTGATCATAAATATTGATTTGAATCTTCTCATTTTAGAGTGTTTCCTCTGGGACTCTTCTGGAATTTTCAGGAGT